AGCTATTAATAAATTTCATGATCCCCCTCAGTGTCTTCTCACACATATTCACCTTTCGACATGTATATTTAGTGCTTTTAACGGTCATGTGACAGTAATGTTTCTAATCGTGATGCTGACTGACAGATTAATGAAGCCGCCATGGTGCAGCCTCTTGATCCGTGTCTTCCCGATATCTGATCAGGGTTCTAAGAGAAGTTTTCACAGGCGTCGAATAAAGCATAACAGGTGACATAAATTAAAGTGAGGCCCGATTCGCCCGAAGGGACAAGCCAGCGTACGGGGTCCGAGGGTATGTTTCCCCAGAAAATTTTTAAAATTTTAGGTGGCCAAGGATGCGATTTCCTGCATTTTTGGAGGAAAGTGTTACGGAAAATGAGTTGTTTAAGATCATAAAATTAGATGTAGCAAGTACCGCTGTTTCACCTTTTTAATCAAATACTATTTTCTTCTTGAAACGTCTCAGTATTTATATCTTAATTTATTGTTATATGAGTGCAAATTTCAATGACCAGAACAGGTGGTTACATTCGATTTTACAGCCAATAGAATTCCGCCGTTCTACTGAGAGCCCTGTGACAGATATGGTCTGATGTCAGTTGACATACCAGCAACTAACCATCCCAAGTGTTTGGAAACTGCAAAGTTACTTTTTAGAGTGCCAAAAAGCCGTCCACCAAGTCTGTATGGGCATGTGACATTTAGTGATCCTCCCTTTTGGGCTCTCAGTTATGACTGATCCCCCATTCTGTCATCCTAAAAATCCTCCGCCGCCCCCATCCCCGTCCCCCGCTCCAATTATAAACCTGGAGTCTGATCATTTATGAATCGCTAGTGAGGTCTCACTCGATAGCTAGTGTAAAGAGAATAACACTTTCATTTCACTAGAACAACAAATTTTTTTTGTAAACTCGCGTGTAAGGAGACACCGAAAACGAAATCCACAGGTCCTAATTAAGAGTGGAGATTATTCGCGCTGAAATTAACGCTATCAACTACAATAACGGGCCGACTTCTGTTTTATATAAAAAAACACCAGAATTTATTTTGGAAGTGGCATTTCAAGAAGGTTACTGTATTCTCAAACTTGGCCCGACTGGGCTAGGCATAATTTATTTGTTTACTCTTTATATTCTATGGTAATTTTTGCTGCCATTTCTTGCGGTCCTACTTACAGGTAACCTGCCTTTAAACGAGCAAATACGGTAACTGTCGCTTTTAGGAAAACAATCTTTATTATTTCAATATTTTTTTTCAAAGGTAAAACAAAAATCCACGCAGGTTACTGCAAAAAATAAAATAGACGCCCTATGCAAAAGAACACCACTGCACGGCACGTTAACTCTTAAATGGTTTTCTTTCTCACGAAATGTTTGAGAAACGCGTTTCACGGCGTGATTTTCATTGCGATTTTAAAATAACAAAATTTCTACTTGTCATTTTAGTGAGGAAAATTTATATTTTGGCCAAAAAAACCTTTCTCCCGTGTTTTCCACTTAGACCCCGTGTTTCCCACCAGTTCCCGCGTTTTCCACACTCCGTTTTCCACACCCCGTGTTCTCCACACCCCGCGTTTTCCACAGGCCGCGTTTTCCAAACTCCGCGTTTTCCACAACCCGGAACTCCGTACCCCGGGACCTTGTCCGCGTATTTTCCACCTAGCCCCTCGAGGATGGTAGTAAGTCTGTGACAAAAGAAACCGGGAAAGCGTTCAAATGTTGCTACAGACTCCGTGGCACGTAATGAAATCGCAAATTAATTTAATCAGTCTTTAAGGGGACTCGCTCACCGATGTAGGATATATAATCTCGGTCAACTGAGTAGCGATGGCCTTCAATACTTCTTCTTGAAAAGCTAACATTTCTCAGTTGTATTAACCGATATCACTGAGGTGGCAACTGAGTAAGAACGTGGTATTCTGTGACTATTTGATAATTAAATTACTTCTTATATATCGGTTAAAAGAAAATTCGCGTCTTGATTACAACAAAATCGTTCGTCTTCCATTTCCTCATGAAATATCTAACTTTCTTCCATTTTTTCATAAGATATTTACTCTCTTCCATTTATCTCTAAAGTTTTCGAGAAAACAAGTGTTTTATGTTTACATACCTTTTCCGGGGAAAACAAAAGTATCAGGTTACAAACGTTAGCGTGGAAAGTAAAATTGTCACGTTTGCTTCTACAACATATTATTGAATTTGAAATGAACGAAAGTCAACGTAAAGCACCCGAGTAAAATTTGAAAGCTGTCTTGACAATGTAAGTTATTGTTGAACATCGAATGAAAATACAGACACGAGACATGCGCACTGCTAAGATTGTGACAAGATTATGTCTTGTCGAGGTTTCTGTCCGATGATATTCTGCAAGGGGAAATACCCTAGGTTCCAAAGTAAGTACAAACCGGGAGTGAACCGGGCAGGGGTGAGGACAAGTGCCAGGTACAGAGCCCAATAAGTGCCATTAAATAACACTTCCAATTTTAAATCTCCCCTGAAGTTTTGCCCGCGTTCTGTCTTTTTCCCCGAATTTTTTCCCGACTTTTTTCCCGACTTTTTGTGGAAGGCTGCTGACCCCAATCTAGTTACTGCTGTGGACCTAGTGAACATTGCGGATTTCTATCGTTGATGTAAAGGACATTTTATTATAGCGTATTACAAGTGAAAATGCTTGGGTCATCTGACTACGCTTAGTGGATGTTTTTCTTTTGGGACAAGGAAGAGATGTTTCACTAGTTTAGGATCGCAAATTCGTCGTAGAAATTGATGTTCAGTTAAAATTCGAATAAATGGTTTAACTCGGAAGCATTTTGGTAGCAGAGCGAGGTTTACGTTGGGGAAATTCGCTGAATTCAAGAAAATGCCGTTAAATTCGAAGAAGAAGAAGCGCCGCGACCGAGCGAAAACCACAGACGACGGCAAAGGTATCCGCGACGAAATTGCAAATAAAATAGAGGAGCAAAAGATCAAGAAAGCCAAATCGAAATCGCTGTTTACAAGACGAAAACATCAGCTGGCGGATTTATTAGAAGATGGAATAGCGAGTAACCGTGAAATAAGAGCTGCGAGGAAAAAACTTGACGAAGCCCAAGAGAATGTTGTTGAAGATTTGACATCGTTGCCTGTGTTGTATTCGGAAGCTAGAGATCGGCATGCTGTTGAGAAGACAAGCTGCGAACTTGATGAAATCGAGAAAGAATTTGGTAATGCCCAAGAAAGTGTACAAGAATATTTGGACGCCAATAAGGATGAATTATTGAGTCAAGCGTCGGGATTTTCCGGGAAATTACGAAGTTTGCATTCATAAGAAACGAAACCTGGCCAGCGCGTGACCGAGTTCGAGGAGCGATTACGCGAAAAAGAAGAATCTGTCAAGCGTGCGCAAAAGAAAATGGAGGAAGAATATGCCAGTTGTCAAAAAAAAATGGAAGCCGAAGTTAGAGAGGCGAAGGAGGAATTAGCCCGTGCAAAAGGAGATTGCAAAGAAAAATATTCGAAGCTCGAGGGTGCCATAGACGAGGAGCTTGAAAGGGATGTTAAACCAGAAGAGGAGGAGAAGACTGTAGAAGAATCACCGAAACATGAGCTCGGGAAAGACATGTGGAAACAATTGACAAGGATTTCGATTCCGGTATTTAGTGGAGACAAGCGGTCGTATGGAAGCTGGTAGGCAGCATTTATGGCTTGTGTTGACAAAGCGCCAGCCACTGCATAGTATAAATTGTTGCAGTTGAAGAAGTATTTGTCTGGAGAAGCGTTGGCAGCAGTGGAGTACTTAGGACATTCGACTGAGGCCTATAAAGCGGCCAAGAGTAGATTGGAGGGAAAATTCGGTGGTCAACGCCGTCAGATAGATTTGCACTTAGAGGAATTGGACCAGTTCCGACCGATTCGTCCTGGAAACGCCAAGGATCTAGACAGGTGTGCAGACTTAACGCACGTGATCGTCGTAAGTCTGAAAGAGGCTTTATGAAAAGAGAAACTTAGCAATGGATCCTTATACATGAAGGTACAAAAGAAAATGACCAGTACTATGCTTGCTAATTACAACAGATGGGTGTTTGAGCAGAAAAAAGTGGAATGTGTTGCGACACTTCGTGGGTGGATCATTCAAGAAGCTGAATTCCAGACTGTTGCGGCAGAGACACTATGTGGGCTGATAGGAAAACGAAGAGATAGCTCATACACATTCTTAGGTCGGACAAGTGGTCCATGAAAGCCTGTAAGCACAAATTGCCCACTTTGTAAGAGAGATCATCCAGTGTGGAGCTGCCCAGAGTTTAAGAAATTGATATGCAAAGTCGTTGGCAAAAGGCTAAACAGCTAAGACTGTGTTATCATTACCTCGGACGAAATCACAAGGAAGGGCGATGTGCTCAAAACTGTCGGTGTGGTATTGATGACTGTCGGAAAACGCATAATCGGGCACTGCATGGAGATGAGTTTGTAAATGGTGGAAGAGCTAGCGAGTCACAAGTGATAGAGCCAGGGAGGATCCTACCCTTGGACATGGGAGCTAGTGAAAACAATGCACACAGTTATGGCACGGAGGGGGAGCGAAGCACCCGTCCTGAACACTCCTTAACAACAACCATGGCAACCACAAAAGCTCCAGAGCCAGCAAAGTATCTTACTTTGCGTACAGTACCGGTGGTGGTGAAGAATGGGGAGCGAAGAATGATTGTAAATGCCTTACTAGATGACGGAAGAACAAAGACCTACATAAATGGTGATGTGCCTGCTGAGCTAGGGTTGGAAGGAAGCTCCTAACGAATCAAAGTTAATGTGTTAAATGGCGAGGAAGATTCCTTTGAAACCATGCCAGTGGAATTTGACCTGCAGAGCATTGATGGCAAGACTCGTGCAAGAATTTCAGCATTTACGGCAACACGGGTGACTGGGAACATGAGACCAGTTAACTGGAAAGAGTAATCGGGAAAGTTGAAGCACCTGGAAGGTGTTAACTTTCCAAATCTTGGTCCTCGCCCAATCATCGACATGTTGATTGGCGTAGACTATGCCGAATTGCACTTTTCCATTATAGATGTTCGTGGTCGACCTGCGGAGCCAGTGGCTCGACTGACGCCTTTAGGCTGGACGTGTATTGGTTCACCTAAGCTGACAGAGGACAGGGTGCAGCAAACAAATTTTAACATGGCCTATTTCGTTCACCAACAAGAGGAAGAATTGAGCTCTGTATTGTAGAGGTTTTGGGAGATCGACTCATCTGGGTCAATTACAGAAAGAGAACTGCTGAAAAAAGAGGAAGTGTCGGCGATAAAAGTATTTGAGAGCTCAGTGCAGTTCAAAGAGGAGAGATATGAAGTAGAGATGCTATGGAAACCAAACGCACCCGAGTTACCAAACAACTATGAGATGGCAGTGAGCCGGTTGATCAGCACTGAAAAGAGACTTCTTAAGGATACTCGGCTAGCGGAGTCTTATTCAGAAGTCATCAGCAAGCGCACACAGAAGGGCTACATTTCTAAAGTGACACCCTTTAAGACAGAGGAGAAGGCCTGGTATCTTCCACACTTTGCAATTATAAGACGTGAAAAGACAGCTACGAAGACTAGGGTGGTTTTTGATGCCTCTGCAAAATTTGATGGACTGTTATTGAATGACGTCATCTGCCAAAGACCAAAACTCCAAAGGGATACCTTTCATGTACTGCTCCGTTTTCGACGTTTTCCAGTAGCCCTAGTATGTGACATTGCAGAGATGTATCTTAGAATTGGGATATCATGCTCAGGTAGACCATTCCATCGTTTCTTGTGGAGGCACGTAGATTAGTCAAGACCTCCAGATGTTCATCAGTTCAATAGCCTTGTCTTTGGAGTTAATTTGTGCCCATTTCAGGCACAATTTGCTTCTCAGAAGCATGCAAGGCAAAACCAAGAGCACTACCCGAGAGCGACCGAGACAATGTTGGAGTCTACATACATGGATGACGGGATGGACTCTTCCCCTAGCGAAGAGAAGTGTGTAAAACTTTACGAGGAACTATCAGCGCTGTGGGGTTCCGCAGGTATGCATGTCAGAAAGTGGCTTTCGAACTCAGAACAAGTAGTTAAGAGGATACCTGAAGAAGACAGGGTTTTAGAAGTGGACTTAGACAAAGGAAATTTGCTGTCAATGAAAACGCTTGGTGTGTTGTGGTTGGCTAAAGATGTTTTGACTTACAGAGCGAATCCACGAGATGAGAAGTTTCGGTTGACCAAGCGAAATCTCCTGCGTAAGATAGCCATGCTAATTTGACGCTATGAGGTTTCTGGCGCCATACTTGATCCGGGCAAAGATTCTACTGCAAGAGACATGGACCTCAGGATTACATTAGGATCACCCACTAGATCTGAGCCAAGCTAGACAGGCCTAGAAGTGGTTTGAAGAGCTCAGAGAGTTGTCAGACATGCAGGTCCCTCGTTGCCTGCAGTTGAACTCACATTTTGAAGCAGTTACCTTGAACACTTTCACAGATGCATCAGGGGATGCGTATGGTGCAGTAACTCACGTTAATTACCGGTACAAGGGTGGTACAGCCTAGTGGCCTCCAAGTCACGAGTGACACCACTATCAGCTACAAGGAGTCCAAGACTCCAGCTTATGGGAGCTGTTTTGGGATTAAGATTGGCCCTGTTTATAGCCAAGGTCCTTAAGATTGACCGGATCCTACTCACATTCTGGAGTGACAGTATGAATGTAATGTGGTGGATTCGAAGACCCAGCCGAAATTTGAGACCGTTCACAGCAAATCGACTAGGAGAAATACATGATTCAAGCAGTCCTTCTCAGTGGCGTCATGTTAGCACACACCAGAATCCTGCTGACCTGCCAAACAGAGGAATGTCTGTGACTGAGGTAAAAGGAAGCGAGATGTGGTGGAAGGGTCCGAAGTTCCTGAGCATGGAAGAGGACACATGGCCAGAAACAGAGATTGATGTAACTCCTGAAGCAACACTAGAAGTCCGCAAGAAAGTGAGGGCAACATTTGATGTGCCAGGCACAGAATCAGTACTATTCGCGCTTACTCCGCAAACGACTTCGCGTTTACATCCCAGCAGATAAACAAGAGAGTTAGGGCATGGATACATCGTTTCGTGAAGAACCGTGGAACGCCGTCAGAGGAGAGGAGTTCTGGAGAACTTAGCAGTCGGGATCTCAGATGCAGAGACTGACATCATCAAAGAGGCACAACACGAAGCCTTTCAAGAAGAATACAAGGCGCTGTTCAATTTCAAGTCTCTTCCGCAAAACAGCAAGTTGCTAAGTTTGAACCCCATCCTAGATGAAGATGGTCTGCTTCGATCAGATGGGAGACTACGCTATCTGCTACGTGCCTTTCGATGCTAGATATCCAGTCATTCCACCAAGGAAGAGTGGGGTGACCAGACTAATTGTGAAGTGCTATCATGAAAGAAGTAACCATGCAGTATGAACCAATCATACATTGTGCTTGCTGTCAGGCAGATTCTGGATCATGGTAGATAGAGACGAGATTCGTGATTGGGAATAAGAGTGCTGTGATTGTCGGAAGAGAAAGGCGAAGGCTGCTAAACAGATAATGGCCCCCCTACCGAAGATTTCACTAAAACTGCGTTTACGAGCAATCGCCCGAACAGCGGTTGACTTTCGCTTGACCATTTGTAACTGTTCAGGGGAGGGGAAAGAAGAGAGCTAAACGATACCTTTGTTTCTTTGCATGCCAAACATGGAGGGTTATTCACCTAGAGATGGCCTATGGACTGGACACAGATTCCTTTCTGAACCCGTTTTATCACATTGCCAATCGGAGAGGGCTGCCAGAAGAGATGATTTCTGATAGCGGAACTAATTTTGTAGGCACGCAAAGAGAGCTGAGGGAGCTCGTCGAACAACTGGATCGGGACAAGATTGGAAAATCAGCTGCCAACAAGGGAATCAAGTGGAGTTTTAACCCACTATGGGCACCTCACTTTGGTGGGATGAGTGAGACAATGATCACGTCAGCGAAGACAGTAACCTATGCGATATTGGGAACTGCAGATGTGACCAATGGAGAGCTGATGGCAGCATTTACGGGTGTAGAGGCAGTGATAAACTCCAGGCCTTTAACGTATCAGTCAACTAATCCCTCAGATAACACACCCATCAACCGAAATCATTTCCTGATTGGACTAGTAGGAAGCCAGTTCGCTCCTAGATCAGTTGATAGTGGCCAGTTCAGTTCCAAGAAGCGGTGGAGACAGGTGCAAGAACTTGTGCGACATTTTTGGCACCGGTTACTGCGAAAGTGCCTACCAACTTTGAATTGTAGGTCCAAGTGGCAGAAGGAACAGAAAGACGTCCAAGTTAATGATGTAGTCTTGGTAGTGGCACCGGGTACACCGCGTGGGCAGTGGCCGCTCGGAAGGGTCCTAACAGTCTTTCCAGGAAAGGACAAGCACGTAACAGCTTTTAAAAATCAGAGTTGGCCGCAAGGAATATTAAAACCGATCACCAGAATTTGCCCATTAAAACTCCTTTAAGAAGATGACGCAGAAGAAAAGGGCAACAACAAACTCTAAGAGAACTAGAACTACAGTCAACTTTATTGATTGGTATTGATAGGTCGATGAGTCACTGGCTCATCGAGAAGGGTGAGTATGATGTGAAGGACATTGTATTATGGTGTAATTCGAAGTGCAAATGCTTGGGTCATGTAACTATGCTTAGTGGATGTTTTTCTTTTGCGACCACGAGATGTTTCACTAGTTTAGGATCGAAAATTCGTCGAAATTGATGTTTAGTTAAAATTCGAATAACTGGTTTAACTTGAAACCAATCGTTGTTAAAACGCGATATTTTCTTATCAGTGGGACGCGAAAATGGTCAGCTATTTGCCGTGCTTCTTATTCAGACATTTGTTTTAAAAGATTCCACATGTGATGGTGTTCGACTTGCAAAGTACATTCCTACATTGGAAGAATACCCTGCTGGACGTGATGATCCAATCGAAGGTTATTTTCATCTTGGGATGGTGTATACGGAGATTTTGTTATTTCTTATATTCAGTCATGGCATGAACTTAAGCCTTAGACAGTTAAAGAGGAGTTTAAAACTTAAACGACACGGACGAAGAAGAAACGTCAGCGATTTAAGGGAGGTTGTTCAAACTGTAGAAGGAGAACTTTGAGAAAGCGGTAGTAACGTGGGATACAGGCAAATGACGCAACGATTAGTCAATGACCACCACCTTGTTGTTGGCAAAGAAACCGCTCGGGAGATATTAAAGATCCTTGATCCTGAACGGGTTGAGTTAAGAGCAAGGCACAGGCTAAAAAGGAGGCAATACATAACCAAGGGGCCCAACCGTCTGTGGAACATTGATGGTTATATCCATGGAGCCATCGATGGATTTAGCAGGAGAATATCATGGCTTCACGTTGATACACCAACAATGATCCTACTGTTGTTTTTCTGTACTTCGATGACTGTGCGGCAACTTGGAGAAGCTGCAAGGGTTATTAGAGCTGACTGCGGAACTGAGATTGGATATATCCCAGTGGTTTAAAGGTTTATTAAGCGAGATGGTGGAGATGATTGGGTAGGGGATGATGGTTTTATCTATGGAAAATCAGTTTCTAACTAACGAATCGAAGCGTGGTGGAGTATACTAGAGAAAGACTGATGGATCGATTTTTTCAGAAATATGAGGAGCTGCGGCCTTTATTATGACGATGACTGTATTGAGGTAGAACGTCTCGAGTTTTGTGTCATACCTATATTGCGTGATGAACTTCATCGCGCAGCAAGACTGTAAAATCTTCATCGAATTCGACCTTCAACAAACATGGAATCTCCGTCTTGAAGGCCCGATGTGCTGTTCTTTCTCCCGGAAATGTCGGGTAGAAGGAAATATACGGTGTATGTTGACTTGGACGAACTGGAACTTGCAGAGGAGAAATGCTGCTATCGACCTCTGCAAAGTGGTTGCTTAGATGAATTTACATAGTTGGCAGAAATCATAATGAGGGAAAAAGTTTACAATTTCCTCGCACACCTGAAGAGGCAACAACTTTGCTTGTCACCTTACTTGAGGAAATAGACAAAATCTAAGAGATCTGGGGCATGCGTCTTGAGACATCAGTTTGAACTTCAAACCCCTTTGACTCTTCTATTTTTTTCTAATTTCAAAGCTTTAGGGCTTGAGAAAACCAGTGAAGTTATTTCGCAGTTTATTACTTTTCTGGGGTGATTACTCCCCCCCCCTATCCGCCCACCGAAAAAAAAGAACTCCTCGATTAAAATAAGTCATTCTTTTGTTGAAATAATTTAATACAATCCATTTGCAACATTTGTTAACATGTAGCAGTCAAGAAATCGATTACATCTACTGTTACGGTCGTTTTCACTGCTACGCGACCTCCGAAAATAAAAATGCCCTGAAAATAGACTTCCGACGATTTCCGTCAATCTAACGCCATCCACACCTTCTGACGAATTTGGCGCGATGTTCTACTTTTCAAACGCTAACGGTTAGCCTGTGTCACTTTTGACCAATTAAATTCGTGAGCGGTTGTGAGGGGACTTTGATTGACGGAAATCGTCGGAACTCTATTTTTAAGGGTTTTGATTTTCGGGGAACAGTCAAAACAACGGTAGCTATGCACTATAATTGTTTTTCCAACAAATAAAATTGAAACGCAACAAATACAATTCATGTACATCATTTGTTAAAATATAACAGTCAAGAAATTGATTGCGTATACTCATTTAAACTGTAACAAAAACATGACACTAAATGTTCACTCTTCTCTTTCCTTGGACACTATTCCTCTTCTAACAAAACAATGTGGGGCTCACAGGGTAAAGGTTTACTCCTATATGGGCTGTCTTTGTTTTTTAATAAAGAAAATTGAATCTGTTTTACAAAAATAAGTGAAACGCTATTAAATGCTTTTAAATTATGTGAAATGACCATGCTTGGCTGTCCTTCATGATATTAGTAAACTCTTCAGCAAGAGCCGGGATAGATTCGTAAGACGAATGAAGCTCCAGAATGGGAACACATTTACGAACCACAGGGTGTCGATTGAGCCCTTCCAATAAACAGAAACAAGTTCTTATCGAGTCACATATTCTCTCCTTGTGCAAAAGCGTAGAAACATAGAAAGCTCCTTCCATTCTAGGGACTTTGACGTTCAGCATCGGTTGATGCTTTCCTTGAAACAGTTCAATTATCTTCCTCGATGTTGGTCGTGTACTTTCGTACCGTTGATCAAGTCCCTCGGTTATTTAAAAGCTGTGATTACACCCTTCCGCAATGTTTTCATTCCTCACAGCACTGATCACTAAGCGTTCAGTGGACTTCCGAAAAAAGTCGAGAAAAAAGTCAGGAAAAAAATCGGGAAAAGTGTGGAGAAAAAAGTCGAAAAGAAAGTCAGCCAAAAAAGTCGAGAAAATAGTCAGAAAAAAGTCGACAAAACAGTCGGGGAAAAAAGTCGCGGAAAAAAGTCAAGAAATAAATCGGGGAAAAAGTCGAGAAAAAAGTCAGGAAAAATTGAGTACGATGGAAAGAAGTCGGGAAAAAAGACATAACGCGGAGACAATTTCAGCTCAGATTTTAAACTGGCAGTGTAATTTAATGGCACTTTTTATGGGCTCCGTACGCCAGAGCTATACATAGGACCCTGCACTATTTGAGATTGTCTCACTAGTTAACCGCGCGACCATGGGCCGAGGGCCGTTCATGTTCTACCCGTTTATTATTTTTTTTACGGCGCTGCCACGGGCCGAGCGTGGTTCATGGTCTACTTGGGGATTTTTTTTTGTTTTGTCGGTGACAAGAAGCAGATCTCCTCTCGGTTAAATTTCGAATCACGCAACTTATGACTTTTGTTCGCAAAAAGCTCTTAAAACATTACTGTATTGAAAATTTTATAAATATTCTACTCTTTTTTTAGTGAAGAATATACTGCCTTTTTGTGTTATTGAAGTGCTTGATTTGAAGCTAGTATTGAATACATACAAAGTATTAAAGTCATTCATGGAATAAGTCGCCGTTGCAACTTTGTCTTGGAGAGCGTGTTAATTAAAATCGTGCTTGT